TCCCCGCCGGCACAGCGTCGTGGAGGGGACACGGACCAGGAGGGCGTGCGCGGGTGGCTCGGCAACTCATCCCCTTGTCGGAGCTGAACCCTGGCAGGGTTTCAGTCCAAAGAGCCAGTGTGTTTCCAGAGATATTCGTGTTCGTGCAACGAAACCAGCACTGAGTTATCACTTATCATCTGCAGCTTAAAAAATCATGTTAAAATACCGTTCCTGGTTAAATTGAGGAAGTGCGTCCAGAGGTGAAGTACGTGAGCAGTGCAACTGTGCGGAGAAACGCGGAGGTGGTGTACGAGGTCGGTCGTGGGGTTGCAGTCCAAGCCCAGGTGCACCGGTCGGATCCCATGGGCTTCCTTGGGCTTGTGGTGTTGTGGTTGTTCTCGGAGTTTGTACTTTGCAGATGTTCATCCATACAAAATTGGTTGGTTATGTCGCGCAAAGCATACATGGAACGACTGCTCTTTCGTAGCAGATTATCAAGGTATGGGGGATAAAATACCAAGCCTTCATTTAAAGGGGGAAAAATTCTTATTTGTCCTTATTTAAGCTCCTCTGTGATAACTGCAGTGCAGAAGCATTGCCTCCAATGGCCGGGAGCACCCGTGGGTGAATGTGTGGCCAAGTTGCCTGCGGAACAGTTTTAAGCAATAACTGCGTAATCGGAAATGAGAAGGGATTTGCAAACAGAGAGGGATTCAATTTGTTAGATTAGAAAACACTGCTGAGATGAATCACTTGATTGCTTCTTCCAGGGAGTAGCTACGCACGTCGTCCATTGCATCTCGCCTGCGCAGTGGGACAACACGGCGTGTTGGCGGCTACTGAATTTGAAGGCCAACCTGCGCAAAATAGGTCAGCCAGGTTCTGCAACGTTTCCAAACCAGTTCACTCCCACGGCATTAGGGAACCTGCATGGACTCTGAATAAATGTGGAGAAGGGCTGTTGAAGGAGCCTGTCTGAGGGCAAATATTTAACCTGTTTCCAAAGAACCTCATTTGGAACATCGTGTTGAGTTTCTAACTGATGTGCTTCTGGAATACAGCCTGCTTCGTCAGGGTCTGCCCAAGGCTGAAATGTGTCCTCCTGGCTACATTGCCAGAAACACCTTTGGTGATTTATTTCTTTTTTCATCAAACTTGAAAATCTTTCTCAGCACCTAAACATCTGTTCCATTTTTAGTCCTTGATTTTTATGTTCTGTAAGGCAACTGTATACTGCATACTTTTTTGTTAATTAGTGGTGTATAGAGGAAAGTTGCGTTTAGCAGGTTTTCACTTCAATCCATGATATCCGTGCACATACGGACTAATAAAGCAATATTTCTTATTTATTTTAGACAGCTATTTTGAGAACATACCTTTGTATATCAAGTACAGCAGAAAGAGGTCTCCTGTTCTTTCCGCACTGCTGTATCTCACCTTTCTGCAGCAGCAAAGCCCAGCTGTGCGGAGGGCTGTGTTCGTAGGAGCAGTTTCTGGGAACCTCGGGGCTTTCGGAGCGGGCGCTGTGAGGAGGTTGTGAGGAGGCTTTGGAGCTGCCGCGACAGCAGCCCCGGGCGCTGCCCTGCTCAGCGCGGTTTTCGGGTGGTTCATTTTGCATCTGATGAGAATTCCACTTTTTAATTAATAACCATAAATTTCAACTTTTATTATGTCTGTCTTTTTTAAGCCAGGATAATTTTTTTTCTTTTGAGGCTGGTTTTGTGTGCTGGGAGGGGAGGATGCTGGTTTTCTCTTTTGTGGGAAGAAGCCAGGCTTTCTTGCGTGTTTTTGGGTGTGTGCATATGTATAAACAACGAGTTAGGTAGAATGGTAAATCGTCACTGAATCTACAGGCTACCTTCAGAAATACTGATTTATACCTGACTCTATCCAGCTGCTGCAGAAATACCTGTAGGAAAGAAATGCATTGTAGAAAAGCAGCAGTGAATCTGAGGTTTCTCTGCTGCTCCCCAGCCTTCTGTTCATTAGAATTAATTTGAAAATGTTCGTAAGACTTTGAAAGCGGCTCCTTGCCTTCTCCAAATGGGACCAGACCCCACAAAACTCCTCCTGCAGGGATTCGCAGCCGTCCGCTGCGCTCTCCATCCTCAAAGTGATGCTTCCCCCCGACATCCCAATTCTCTGCTGTATAAACTGTGATTTTTTTATCCCGTATCATATGCGGCTTCTCTCAGAACCCTTTCAGATTTCATGTTGAGAACGTTAATTAAATATATGAATACTTATTTGCATGATCCATTTCTGAAGAATTTCAGCCCGATGCTTCTAGCTTCTTATTCCCAAAGGGAATGTCATTTTTCCCCTTAAACAATACCGCCATATGCTTCAGCTACGAAATCACCATTTTCTCCCACCGAAGACTTTCCATAGTTGCGCTATTTTAATGTTTGATCAAAGAGAAGAGATCTATTGCATTCTCTTCTTCTGTTGGATTTCCTTCATGTAAAAAAACCCCTTCATCAAACAAAAATGTCCCATTGGTCGGTTGCACTTTGTATTACCTTCCTTCAGCTTTTAAAGTGGTTTTAAAGCCTTAAATTCTATCGTGGGCATGGTGGTTAGCCTAAAATTTGCCTGATTCATTCTCTGCATTTCCTTAAATGTAGATAAGACATTTATGCTTTCCCAGTCACACAGCATCGCTTCCAGTACTTTAAAAAAAAACCCCCGCGTGCTCTTGGATTTGCAGCTTCATGCTCTTGGGTGTGAGTCCATCAAGGCTTTTCTCTGCCCTGAACTCCGTGAGCTGCTCTGCTTTATCCCACGCGCTGGATGTCACCTTCTTTATGGAAACCTGGAGCGTAGCGCTCAGTTAATTTTTGAGCCACAGTCAAATATCCTTCCCCTCACTGCAGACAGGCTCGGGCTTTTTCATCAGCTCACTGAAATAAAGCTCCTTCTGCATGCTCTCTCTGTCCTTTTATCTCCTCACTTCTCAGCCACCGAGAGGGTCTCTCCTTGCTGGCTGTTCCTCCTGGACACCCTTCTCCCACTCCTGTTTTCCCAAGTTATCACCATTTTCTTTAGCTCAGGTCTCATCTCCTGTCTTCAGTCCTTATCTTTTGTGACAAACATTTCCTTGTCTATGGCAAGGTGGTACTTGAATCATCTCTGGTGCTTGGATTCTAACTGTATTCTCATACTCCACACAGCCCTGCGCGCTGCTGGTTGTTACTGGTTTTCTTCCCATCACTACATTTTCTTTCCTCGCTTGCTGCCCTTTCATGCGTTTCCCCGGCTGCTCACAAAAGTCACCGTTTCTGGCTGAAGTTCAAGAGAGCGTCCCTGCTCTGCCTTGCCCAGGGATTGCTTTCGCAGTCAAACACAGCAGTGCAGAATATAGACTGCATCATCCAAGCATCAGCTGACCACGCAGTCAAACTGCCTGCGGGACTGAGGAGCGGTCCTTAGTGTCCTTTCTCTCCCCTGCTCTCCCACCTGTCCCCAGCGTCACTCCCCTATTGCCAGGTGACAGAAAAGTTTGATGGCTACCCCAAAGCCATCGGTTGCGTTAAAAATGAGAGCATCCACTGGGACCATGTTTACCCTACCAGCCTGGGAGCATGTTTACCCAAGCACCAGCCTGCGTGCCCCTGGGCAGCCTCTCCCAGTGATAACCAGTGCAGCTCTGCATCCCCCGGCATCGCCCCGTTCCCCCCGGCCACCGCTCTGCCCGTGCCAGGCTCAGAGCTCCGCACGCTCACACCAGCGCGGGC